AGGAACGTTTAGCTAGGTTTGCTTTGCAAGGCTTTGTGCAAGCATGACATAGGATGTGCTAGACATGTCTCGTGACTTCTGAATTGCTGAGGTAAAAGTTCCACTGCAAGTAAGAACAGATTTGTTGAGTGGTCCTGTCAGCACACATTCACACAGAAATACATGCTGTTCTGACTGGATGTTCACACATGCTGTTCTGACTGGATACCTTTTGAACAATTATGAAAGCCAGTTATGAAAGCTGTCTTGTAACTGTGCTGCTAGCCTGCAGTACTCAGTTACACATCTCTCTGTGGAAATACCTTCCTAGAACTGCAATAAGCAAAATTGTTCCAGTCTCCTGGACTTCTCAAGAAGAGGCAAAGCGGAGTGTAGTCATCATAGTGGTTGTTTCTGAGGGCTTAGCCTGCTTCTGATGCCATCAGTGTGCAAGACAGATGTAATATGCAAGGATATGAAGGTGGAGAAAAATAAGATGGAAAAAAATGCCTGCTGCATCAGGTCAGTTCAGTCAAGCTGTTAGGAATACTTGTCCGTGTCAGATGGTTGTGGAGCTGTATCTTGGTATTTCTGTGATTAGAATAAAACCAGTGAGACAATGTGTGCTACAGTATCAAACGAGGAGGCCCTAGAGCGTTCCAGGTGGTGTTCTTCTTTGTATGAAGGAATTAAGTTCATGATAAGAAGTATGGGTAATTTTTTTTCATGATCAGTAACAGTTACATGACATTCATCAAGAACAAGTAGCACCCATTATCAGTTTAGCCAGTTCCTTCTCATAAACTGGAGACATGTGCCTGATTTGTAAATAAGTCCAAAAGAATTTTGCTTCTGTTCCCAAGGCATAATATCAACAGGATATTGGGAAAAACAGGAGGTAGCTCTCAACTGACCTTCTACAGAAAGACATTTGACAGAACAGTTATACAGTGGCTGGTTTGTAGGTCTGTTTTCTTCTGTACTCATTATGCAAGAACTATGAAGCTAGTCTGAAAGTAGCCTTTTGGCAGAGATGTTTGTACTGACTAATATAGGAGAATTTTCTTTTAGTTGTTTTGAAGGTGTCTGTTTCCTCCCTCCTCTAGACTGATTTCTGTACTATCGCCCATTAATACTGGTATGTTAATGCATTTCTGGGGACAGGTAAGAGTCTATTTTTGACCACAAAACAATGTTGAATTCTCTTTAAAAGAATAAAAAAGAGATGCATTGAAAATCAACAGTTGACTCTTAGGACTGGTTCCATCCTAATATTAAGTGAAGTTTGAGAAGATCGGTGTAAGTAGCCTTCTACCTAGAATAACTGCAAAGGTTTGAATCTGGATGTTTGATGAAAACAGGCTAGCTGTGCTGCCACACCCCAGTCAAGACATAAGGTTTGGATTTCCCTTGTTAGCATACTGAAAGTGAAAATGGTGCTGAATTCTGGAACCCAGCATCAAGTGAATAAGCTGTCAGAGCACACTTGCAAAAAGAATTGAAGCTGAAGGGTATAGCATTTTGAAGTACAAACTGAGAAGCCGTGGAAAGTTTGTGTAATGACTAGATATTTATGCATCTAATGCTACTTAGATCTGATTCTATTTAAGAAACAGCAGCAACATTATCTCTCATTTTTAATTTAATAACTCTGTGTTCCTCAGTTCTGATATTTAGAAAAAATAATGCAACTTAAATGTGGGCAGCTGTTTTCCATAGCAGTATTGTACAAGTGTATCTTTTTATAATAATACAAATGGAAGAAGAAATTAGAAAATGTGCTTTGTACTAAGTGCTGTTTGTATGCTGCTCAGATAACATGATAATGATCCATTGTCTGACTCAGCCTAAGAACCACTAGTTCATCATGCTTTTCTTTTAAGAGAATAATGAGGATTCTCTGTTAAATCAAGCAATAAGTTGCTTTTCTGAATTTCCTCCAGGTGATCTTTCTCATTTTTGCAGCTCTGTAGTGGGCACATTTTTGCTTTTTCCTCATCTTTATGTGTCAGTTGTGAATTAAAACATTATTTTGCTTTTGATGTGATTGAAAACATAGTGTCAGGCCTCTTAATTCATGTACCAATGCTAGTCCAGAATCTGCTGCCCATGAGAACTAAGAGTGAATAAGTGTTCTTATATTCAGTCTCACTTCAGACTCCTGCCATTCTGGGCAGGGAAAGGGATAAAGAAATGGATAATCTCTTCACAGTTTTCCATATACTTTGTATAGAGAATAGTGGATCGAGTGTTTAAAACAAAGAAAGGAAGGAAACTTTGATTCCTTGCCAAAGCTCCCTGTTACTTACCAGGCTTGTTTGTTTTGCTGCCAACAAGCAGTTTCCTCACCTTAAGCAGCTCCTTTTCATCTGTGAAATGAACAGCAGTGAGAGAAGCAGAATGGCACCACTGTAGGAACTTGCTTTAATTGACATAAGGACTGATTCCCTTCTGAATTTAAATAGGCACCAGCAGACACACAGCACTGCAGGTGTGGGCTATTCTCAGACCATCATTACTGTTTACTGTTTTTCTTCAAGTATGTAGAAGTTGTTTGTTTTGTGAGTGTTCATCTCCTACCACACAGAAGTTATTTAATTGGTTTTGCAGTTTTTTGAGGGGAGGAATTGTAATTAACTGAGTTTTATGTCTCCTCTGTCCCTGAATCTCAGGTGGCTCCTCTGTGGCCCTTGTTTTTACTGAATGGACTCAGAGAGAATTTGCTAATCAGGGTCTCAAGGAACTGCTGTTGCTCCAGACTGTATGCTGTCGTTCCAGATTGACCACGATCTTGACATTATGTGGAAAATAAATATTTTAAAATTAATTAAAGGCAGGATATGCAGGGCTTTAAATCTTTATTTGAATCAAGAATGGCAGCAAATGTTTTGTTCCTGCAATCTTCCGGTAAGGAAAAGGAATACAGACTCATTCTGTGAAAGCTATTATTTTAAGTGAACAATGAATTTTGTTTGACAATAGCAAGGGAGGAAATACTGTTTGAATCTTTTTAACAAGCTTGCAAATACAATCACATTTATAGTAAACCAGGAGAACAACCCTTTTTCTTTTCCCCTTCTATATATCTGCAGTTAATGCTTGAAGCAGCAGAAGTGATAGCTAACGAAGAAACTATATTTCAGACTTCAGCATATATCTTTGGGTCATGCAGATGACATGAAAGTAGATAGATGATTGAGAACAAAACAGTGCACTTCCAACAGTAACCAAAAAACATTCAGGTAGTCTACATCCAAAGAGCTACGAACTGAACCATGCCCACCAAGTTAGCTGCAGTGAATGCTGTGTATTCACCCCTCAGAAGGACGGTTTCCCTCTGAAGTTCTTAGTTGCTGAGCGTATGATTTAAAGATTACTACAAAGCCCTTTGTACAGTTTCCTGCTTCTTGTGAAAATATAAATAGTTTTATCGACTCAAAGTGCTTATATATCGTATAAAGAAGGAAGGCAATGGAGAGAAAGATGGAGGGAGAGAGAGACTTGAACAGCTTGAGAGTGCAGTGCATGTGCTTGGTAGAACTCAGTAAAAAAAATCTTTTTATTGCAAGAGTCTTTGTGGTCACAGATGCTTATCTGTATAATTCTAAGTGATGCCCTCAGATTTTTTAAGGCTGTTCTGCTGCTTCAAGTTCAGACAGCAGTGTTTTTGTTGTCTTTTTTTTGTTGTGCTCAGTGTCTTGTTTTTGTTGTGCTCAGTGTCAACAATTCTTAAAGCACGGAGAAGTGCTTTAAGGTTTGAAAAATCATTTTTAACTGTACATTTGTGTTTAGGACTGCACATACAAGAGGAACTTCTATCCTTGAAGGTATGAGCAACAGCCATGAGCTGAATTAATCTTCACATTTCCTTAGAAAAATGAGCTTTATAAAAGGAGGATTTTAAAAATTAATATGAATCTTAATTAGCTTATTGTCTCTAGAAACTGATTCATCATGTATGATTGGTATAGAATTTATTATTACAATGTATGTCCCAAAATAAGTGGAAATCATCCCCCTAGGAAATAGCAGAGTATGTGTGTCAGGACAAGATTTTATCTTTATTGTCATTACAAAGTTAGAATACAAGATATTCTGTCTTTTTTTTTTTCCTGGAGTTTACAATCCTAGCCTTAAAAACAGGGAAAGGTTCTGTACAATTAAAGGACAATGGAGATCATATTTGATGATTCAGAAGATAAGCAGTGGTCAGGAATGTATCTCCTGGGTTTAGATTTTAAGTGTCTCTTACTGATCTTTTCCTGCTATGAAACTGTGCTGTTGAAGAAGAACTCAAATAATAAAGGATGTGCTAAAATAGAAAAAAAAAAAAAAATTGTAGCTGAAGAATTATGGTTAAATTAATTAGGAGTTATATATTGCTGGCAAGAGAAGATTTATAATCATACATCTCATGTATCATTCTTAGCTGATTGTTCTATATACCTATGAATATATATAGTTGATAAATATATACATATAACACTTTTAGCTGACAGACCCCTGAGTCATCAGAATTTCCACTGTCTTTATTTTACAGTGAGTGTGCTGGAAGAAACCTAAAGCTTCCCATCTTTAATTTGTATTTGATGCAAAATTTCAAACAAGAACATGAGAGGTCTCTACAGGGCAGAAAGCTGAGGCTCATCAATGTAGTCTGATTGATAGGTTTGCAAAAGAACCCTCCTGCCCAGTGTATCCTACTGGGGGAATCCGTCTACTCAATTTTGACTTCCTCTGAAGCAAGTGTCAGCAGTTTCATTATGTAATTTAGGGCTTCCTTTCAAGCTCCTATAGAAACACCTGTATATCTAGCTCTGGATCTGAACCTTTTCTCTGCACTAAGCAACCCCTTTTGTTTGTTTCAGCTTTCCTGCCTGCTGCTCCCTGCTTGCTGTGCCTCTCTGAATGCTCTCCCACCCACTGCACCAGAGCTGCTTCTCCAGAAAGGTCACTGCTTCTCTCTGCAGCTTCTCTGTGCTCAGAAGGCCAAAGCCAGAATGGGGGAAAAGGTAGTCTGCCACCCTGCTTCCCACTCCAGTTGGGTGGAATGCATATGTAGAGTAAGGCTGAAACAAATCAGTGCAGTCTTTGTCCCATTGTAGTTATCGTTAGCTCCAATGTTATTTTTGCACCAGTATTTTAATCACAGGATAAGAAATCTGTCCACAATGTAATTAAAATGTAAAGATGATAAAAATATATATATACAATTTTGTAAATAAATACCCGGCAGGAGATTAAAATTGCATCACTGTTTTTGCAGCAAGATAAAAACATCTGCAAAGTTCATGGCTAGAATTGCTGTGAGAATAGGTGCTGTGTCTTAATTGTACAAAAATGGCACTAATGGCAAAACCTGAATCATGACTGGCTTCCCCTAAATCTAGAATTTCTTAAGTCTGTGTTAAAGAACACAACTTAGGAACAAATACTGACTGTTCCCTTTGCAGCGTAATGACAGTTCATCCTCTCAGTTTCCAATTTGGCTTATTTGTCTTCTAGTTTACTTTAAGGGTATGTTACCTGTAGATCAGCATATTTAGATAAGGTGAACCTCTCAATCATTTTAATTCTCAAGGATTAAATGAGGAAGTTTAGTTTAATGGAAAAATTTGAAGCTAAGTCTTCTTCTAAGAATGATTTAAAATATCAGAATATCTGTGTATGAGATAAAGCTTGTATATAGCTGGTCTGCACTGTGGGTATTGATGTAATGACTTAGGATGCTAACAAAAATCTGATCTGATCTCTGCTAACAAAAATCAGATCTCAAAATCTGATTGAGATCAGATTTAGTAGTTTAAAATTAACAAAGGAAAGGATACTGCACAGGTATACTTGTATTTTATAGGGTAGATATTTAGTATTTCCTGGTGTAGTATTTATTTGAACGCACAAATAATGAATTTAAGAAATCTGCTGTACAGCATACATGGTGTTAAGAAAATGAATTCTTGCCTGTTGTCCTCCAAAACAAACTATGCAAATACCATTTCCTCTTCAGTGACAGCAGTGTTTTAAATAGGGTTAACACTGTTGTTTTTTTTTTCAGCTGCCACAACAGGGCAGCAGCAGTGATTCCTCTCTACTAATGGTCTTAGTAACCTCTTTGTATGTGCCGAATTTCAATAGTCCAGTTTGGCCTGAGGAGCAAGGGTAATAGCTTTACAGCAGCCTTAAAACTATAGCTGTGTTCAGTGCAGTAGTCAGCTATGCTCAGTGTATTAAATACTGAGAAAACAGCAGCAGTCTTTATAGCACATACAACATGCGGTTCCTTCATCAGATCCATAAATTCTCCTCCACACAGAGTAAAACTGCCTTGAGATTTCTGCCAGAAGTCAGAACCAAGATGACTGTAAGTACTTTACTTTATTTGTACTAAGGCATTATTAAAAAACAATCAATTTTTGTGTTCTCAAATTTGTTAAAAAGTAGCTCTTATATATAATCAATATGTCTTGAACTCAGTGTTATAATATGCAATTATATTTGCACAGGTCTGCAGATGAGCTTTTCTTTTAAGTTCTGTTTATCATATAAATAAAAAATGAAGACTGATGGTGTTACAAGAACCAAGTACTCATTACAATTACAGCTGGAGAAAATGGCAAGAAAAATGGATGTAGAATATTTATTTTCTATTTTAATACACAGTTTTTTAAAGGTTTTATTTTCTCATAGGCTCTGTGGCTATAACAGACTGCATTTTGACAGGCTTTTCTTTCACTTTTTCAGTGGACTAAACCCTGCTCCTCCTACTCAAAAACTATTCCTGTATGGGTGGTATCCCAGGAGGAGGCACAGGAGAACAGAATGAGGAGCATGCACAATTATATGAGCACTTCAGTGTGGATTTTTGTTTTAATCTTTAATAGGAATCTGGAAAACAAACAAACAAAAAACTATCTGAGCCAGTATGTATTCAAAAATCTGCATTTTACTGTCATCTGGTAAATAATACTGTTGTCCCCAGAGTGGAGATCAGCAAAAATTCATGGTTTAGGTTCATTTTTCTTTCAAAGGAGTTGGAGGCAAAATGAACATTTTTAGATTGTGTCATGGAGGCCTGCTGTATGTGCTTGTTCTAATGTGAGAGAAATTGGAAAATACAATTTAAAAATAATTTTGAAACTTTATTGGTGGTGGTACTTTTGGGAAAATCCAGTAGCTTTTACTGGGAATTAGATTTACAGGAGCCTGCAGAATTAAAAAAAAATGGGTATATAGAGCTCATGTAGCCTTGATCCTCTTTTAGTCCTTTAGTATTTGTTTATAAAACTGTATTACAGATGACAAAGTGTATCTTCTGCTCTTTCAGAACTACAGGTAGCTAACATATTTGCAATTGAGTATTTTGGTTTTTATAATTTTGTTTAAAATTATTTAATACTTTGCTGTAGGACTAGTAGAATCTTAGAAAAATGCTGTGAAAAGCCAGACCGCAAATGGAGTGAGCAGTGATGGAATTCCCACACATTTAGACTGGTAAAAAGTAAAATTAATAACAATTATAACTGTCATTTTTCATTCTCAAAAGTTCTCTTTTTTCCAGCTTCCTCTTATGTAATCATAAAGATACACAGATTGACTCTGGCATAAAAGTTGACATTATCTCGGTTTGTAAATCTTGTGACTTGGTGTGGGCATTCGATGACTGCTCTTACTATAGGCCTACTCCCAGTGATCAAATCCATAGAGAAACAGGTGGGTGCAGGACACCACTGAAAGAATGCTGAACATCTTCACTGTCGTTTATAGTTAAAGAGAGATGAAGGTGGTTTGCCTCTTAGCAAATGTAGCTCTTGTGGAGTGGCAGAAAAATGTATGAAGAGTTAGTAAATAACCCCAGATGAGTACATTAGTCAAGAGCTGTTCCTATATACCAACTTGTCAAGTATTTTTTTTTTTTGGTTCAGTTTGATGCAGCCATCACATGTAATATATGCTATTTTGATTAAGAAGTAAAATGAAACATAATACTAAATAAGTAGCTTATAATATGTCTTAACAGTTGAAGGCAGTGGTTTATATAACACGGTGAACTTTCTGCTCAGCAATACATAAAAGCTAGCTTGCTCTATTTTTCTAGCTGATGTATGCACAGCACTAATAATAGGCCTTACGAATCACAAGCATTCATTAAGCGAGCCAACAGATGTTTTAAAGAGACAATAGTTGAGATCTAGACTGTTTGAAGTGAACAAGTAGATGTTGTTAAAAATAGTGAATCTTTACAAAATGTTACAGTAACGTGCTGCTTAACATTGAAGATGCAAAACCAGTATGTTAATTAGTGGATTAGTGAAAACATCTTTTGAGACCAAACTTAAACCTGTCTTCCTGGTTTCGAAATGAATTTGGAATGCTTGACTTTCTCATGATTGCCCCAAGGGAAAATAGGACAGTTTGTTTGTTTGTTTTCTCAGGAAGGCACAGTTTAGACATAGCATTTGGTTTTCAATGTAGAGCTGTTTTGCACTTAGTTATCCAGCTGGCTTGTTAAGGGTACAATTAAATAAATGATTTGCTCTGGATCACTAAGTGAATCAGTGACTTGACTGGGAGAAAAAAATTGGACTGGGAAAACTGAAAATACCAGTTCCCATTGCAGAACAATTTCTCAGTAGCACTTAAGTAAATTAGAGGGATAACTTACTGTATTTCACAGTCATCCACACAAACCACCAGCAATGTGTAGACTAAGTTCCCATTGGTAGAGAAATGTGGATGCAGAAGGAGAACTGAATGAAGTTAACTCTTCATGTGATAGATGTCTGAACAGATTTATCAGACCAAGAACAGATGATAAATCAAAATTTATTTTTTAAAGCCATTTGTTTTTGTAGATATCACTGCTAGGGGAAAGTTCAACTGAATAATGAATCTTTCATGTTTAGCTTTATTTTACTAGCCTAGTAAAATTGTGTAAAAAGTAAAAAGTAAATTGTGAGTTGCAATTCTAGGACTTTTCTCATTTATAATGATTCAACTTGGTGTGGGTTTTGATTCTGGGTTGGCTTTTTGCTTAATTAGTTTTTCCTATTTTTGGCAGTGTGAAGTTTTGTCAATACTATCATGCTGGTATGATGACACTGATTTTTTTTTTCCAATAGGTTTAATTAATGCAAATGGCTTTTGCCTGTTGCATGCATAGATTGCTGGTTGCAATAATAAGATGTCATCTTCAGTGATGACAGAAGGCAATCAGGCATGCACATGGGCTCATAATTAACATTACAGATTTTGCTGGTAGTGTTTAGTGGTAGTAAATGAATAGTGAAAATTAGCATATTCTGATTTGGTTTCAGGGGCAGTATGTGAATGCACTCCAGTGAGGATAAAGGCTCCTGCAACAGGTTTCAAACCTCTCCTTTCTTCCAGATCACAGCTCACTTCTTCAGGCCTCTCACTCCCTCCAGCATTATTTTTCCACCAGTTTTTCATCTTCCTGGCCTCCCCATTTCTTCAGGCTCAGTCTCCTGGCTAGGCCAGTGCTGGCTTTCTCCTTGGCTTGCTGCCTGAGTCCCCTGCTGAACTCAGGATGTGGTTCTGCCAATCTAATTGTGGGCTGCTACTGAAAGAAGTACTCTCATTCCTCTGACTGTCTCCCCTGGTCTCCCTTGTGAGCTGAGTCAGGGAAGTAAACTTGTATGATTATATGACTGATTGTCTTTCAGATCAGCTTTCTTAGTCACTTCATGGTGTAAAATGAATAATGCTAAAAATTACAGCCAGGGTTGGAGGGGAGAGTGCAATAAGGTGAGAATGGACCATTTCTTTCAGCAGCACTTCACAACTAAAGTGAGTTTCATCATAAAACTTTATTTTCAGCTCCAAACTCCTTAGTGTGTCTTTCATTGTGTGTTTCATCTCTGCTCTGTATCCCCTCCTCTTCAGACTCTTGATTTGTCCTTGTCCTTTTTGCTTCTGTCTCATTTGTGGACCAGCTGATGCCAACCATCTCACCCTACGTCTTTTTCTGCCTCAGTCCTTCACTGGTCTCCTGCAGCAGACACTGTGTCTTCTCACCAGCATGGCCCATGGTCCATCACTCGATTACTGTTGGGAAAGTATTTGCTGAAAGTGGGAGAAAATTTGGCAGTTAAGACCTTATTTTTATAAACTTTTCTCAAGCCATTTTTAAGAGGCTCTTCTACTTAGCTATGAAAAAGCATCTGAAATTTAACTGCTTGTGCTATAAAATGGTCAAAATTCATGTCCTAGTAGATATGAAATTCCTACCAACTGAGCTTTCCTCATTTCAAGCTGTTTGTGTTAAAAATAAGCTGTGAAATAGTTTTCAACAATAGTTTGAGAGGTTTTTTTTCCCCTACTGTAAACAAATGCTGAATATCTGGGCAACAGTCTCCTTTGCGTAATGCAAGTCAGCTCCCATTGACTTCACAGGAGTTATATATGAGAGCAGAATCTTGTCTCTGTGAATAAAGGAGTTTTTTCAACAGTGAGGGGGCTCTGCACAATGAATGCATTTTTACCAGCCCTTTCTGATTCACTGGCAGAGTACCAAACACAAGAACTGTTTCTGTAGTCTTTTTGCTCTCACAATGACCGACATTTTCTTTTTCATTTTTAGTGGGAAGTCTTTTGTGTTGGTTTTTTTTTTCCTCGTGAAAGTTTGTCTTATGTTTCTTGCTATTTTGTACAATGGAGTAGAGTATTTCTCAGTCATAGTATTTTTGAAATCGGTTCCCTCTCTGACTTTGTCAAATACTAGTTCTTGTTTTATTCTTCCTAAGGACAAAGAAGCAGGTTTGGGTCTGACTTAAGGATGCATCTCTTGCAGTTCAAACACTAGAACTGAACTGGATGGACTCCTGTGGAAGTTATAGTAGCCATCACTTGCCAATGTTGTGTCTGGGTGTCATACACCCTAGGCACACAGCTGGAGAAGTGGATGGCTTTGAAGTTATCAGGAACTGTCTGATGGACCTTTAATAACACAAAATACATTTATTGCGTGCCCTCTGTAGTGTCTTCTATACTATAGCAAATGTGATTCCTTTTGTATTTTATTTTCTCCCGGACTTGTGCCTGACAATTAGAAAAATAACTCAGCAGATATCTTCAAAAGGTTGGAATTCTTGGTGTTATTTTCCATTTTTAATGTAATCATACATTATTCTCTTAGTAGGTCAAAGTGGTTTTCTTCCCATTGTACTTGTGAGAACATGTATTACTAATTATACTGTTAAAAGATCAGATGTCTAGATAAAACTGCCCTTCCAGAGAAATAGTGAACTGAGGACCATTCCTAGAGCTGACTGCTCTGTGAGGCAGTGAGTGTAAGCAGTAAGAGACCCCAAACCCGACAGTCACAGAATATCCATATTCAGAACAGCCAGTGTTAATTGTTCATTTCTCTCTGTGCAATGCAACCAAGTATTTCAGCACGCATCTGACTGAACATGGGCAAACTGTGGACAGAAGAGGCCATCAGTGTTGTATTCTGAACTGTGTCTGCAAGTAGGTGATACTGCTTTTGACCTGGAATGGTGGGCTGTGGTGAGGTTTGATGTTATGCAAAGTCTTGCTGTCTGCTTGTACACAACTGGATTTCTTCAAAAGCTGAATCAAAACCTGTCCTGGAAAAAGCTATTTAATCTCATGTTCAAAGCCAAGCAAAGGTATACCCAGTATCTCTCCTGATATAAGCTATGTAAATATTTAATTGCCCTCACAGTCAGGAAATGTCAACATTGGGTTTGTCTAGCTACAGTTTCCAACAAATGGATACCATTCTGCCTTTGTCAGCAAGGTTGAAAAGGTCATACTGTTGAGGTCTCTTTTCCATGTATAAACATCTGTTCAAAGTAATCAAGCCCCCTGTCAGTTTTATTTATTTCAGACGCCAAATAAGCAGAAATATGTAAACTCTGTATTGTGAAGGCTTGTTTTCTGCTCCCTGGATCATTTTTCAGCACTCTTCCTCATCACTAATATTTCAGTTTTCCTCCAAGTATAAACGTCAGAGGTGTGTGCAGTTTTTTTGTTGTGTTTCTTCACCAGTGTGTGCATAGAGATCTAATAGAAAGAAGGCATTTGTCATACACACCGGATTGCATTGGTTCTTTTTGCATCAGCATTATTTGTGCTTGGCTGAACCAATGATTCCCCAAGTCTTTATCTGGGCCGCTCTTCATGCAGCCATACCCCACGTGTTCCTTACGTGTCTGCTTGCATCTGTGTGGATGTATTGGATTTAACCATATGACTCAGATAAGTCTGTAAAAATAGTCTTTCCTTCTCATTTATTACTGCACTGATCTTTTTGTCCTTACTAAACATTACCTCTGTAAGCCTTTATATAATCACCTGGGCTGTTACAGTTTTGGAATCAGCATCCTAAAGGATGCTACCAGAAATGCATCAGTTCAGTGATACCTTGCCAGTGACAACAGCATTTTGAAATGTCAGCGAGCTAGTTTTTAGGGTGGTTATTCCTATAAAAATCAAGGGTTTGGAATCAAAATGTCTTATGGCACTAAACCAATGGCTTGCAGAAGTCCAAGTTTAAAATGGAAGTGCAATTAGTTTTATCAGCTGAAGATTCAATTATTTAAAAATAAAGATCTTTGTTTCTACTTGTCAGAGCCCTGAGCACACTAATGGGCAGTAATTGCCCCCACCAGCCTCCCTTGGCCTTTACGCCCATGGCCCAGGAGCCCCATTTCACTCAGATGGGGCTGCCAGGGAAGCACTTTCCCCAGCCCAGCCTGTACTGGCTACAGTCGTGCTGCTGCTCAGTGCCAGGGGCTGCGTGCCCTGGGCTCTCTGGGCCCTGTGCTGCCCCTCTGCCCCCCCAGCTTCAGGGTGCCTGTGGCTGCCCTCCCCAGGGGCTGCTGGCCTGCACTGCGCACCAGCCCATTGTGTGTAAGAGATGATGAAGGTCTGGGAAGGGTCAGTGTCTAGCTAATATTTCCATGTGCCAATATTTCTAACTTTATATTTCCATGTGCCAAAATATTTACCCTTTTGCCTTTCAGAAAGAGTTTGTAGTAGCTGTGAGGACCGCTGCTCCATCCAGATCAGGCTGGGATGTATGAGGCTGCTGATTAGTGGTGACCTCAGTGAGCTGAAGCACATAAGGATTGCTGTTTTAAAAAGTTATGGTGGTTGGGGGATGTTAGTTCCTCTGAAATCCAGTTTTAGCTTTTATGTGATGTTTTGTAAAGATTAACATGTTTAAATTGATGTTTCTTTGTACACTGTACAATATGATCACTCCTGATGTTTTATCTGAACCACCTCCCCCCAGACTCCGAACCCAGTAAATCCGAATGCTCAGCAGCGCGGTATGGTGCTCTGTCCACATCACGGTTCAGTGTGGTGCTCCATCCAGAAAGAAGGCTGTGGGCACCAGCTGCGGACATTCTTTAGGAGTGCAGAAAAAGCCTATTTGAAAAACTGGGAAAAATAACTTGGCAAAGCAGTTGTTAGAATAGGATAACTGACTGACGTTCAGTCTCCTGCTTGTGACATTTAGAGGAAAGAAGAGGAATGGGGATGACTTATTTTTGTTCTGAACAAGGAGTATTTAGCTGTGCAGTGTGAAGGAGAGTAAGTGATGAGTGATGCGTTGTTATTTTTCTGCTGTTTTTTTTTTTTTTTTTTTATGGCTAATGGAATGATTTACTGTAGCAGAAGAGAATACTGGAATCCAACAGGATGCAAATCACTTTATAATATGCTTTATGGCATGAACTATGCTGCAAACGTTATGGAGATTTGAAGTAACTGTGCCGATAAATACTTAATTCTTCCTGTTAAGACCTCTTAGTGTTTACTTCTGAAAGATGCAGTCTGAGTCCTGCGCTCAGGTTTCGTCCCCGGCTCAGTGGCCACCTTTATGCCGGCTGTGGTGCCGCAGCTCCGTGGGGCTCTGCCAGCCCCCACCTCGCGCTGTGATTTGCGCCAAGCACGGAGCTGGGGCTGTGCAGCGGGGCAAAGGGGCTCGGAGCTCCGCTTTCTGCCGGAAGATGGAGAACGCTTTGTGCCCTTTGAGTCTAGGGCTGTGCCATCAGATGAGTTTTTGGAGGTCTTACGCTACAGGAAGCCGTGTTATCGACACATCTCGTGCGATTCCTTGCTTACGCGTGCTGCGTTCTTTTACCGAGGCCCTCGGCACCGGGGCTCGCTTAAGCGAAGTTCCAAGGCGTGAAGGCCGGCCCGGAGTGCCGTAGGTGCGGGGCGCCACTCGTCGCCCCGGCACCTCGTCGGTCTGTGGGGGAGCGGCGCCTCTCCCGCCCCGCGCATCCCTCGCACAGGCGCGGCGCGCGCCCCCCGAGCAGGGCCGCGTGCCAGCGCCCGCCCGCCGACCGCGAGGGGGCGGGCGCGCGGCGGGCGGCGATTGGCTGCCGGGGCGGCGCGCGGCGGGGCGGGGAGGGGCCGGCCCTGCGTGCTGCCCCTGCGTCCGCTCTCCCGCCGGGCGCCGCGGCGACAGTTACTTAGCGGCCGTCCGCGGGCGCGCGCTGCGGCTCTCCGCCTGCCGGGCTCCACCGCAACCGCGCTCCGCGACGCAGCCGCCTCCGGCCTCGCCATGAGTAAGGAGACGAAGAAGCCGTTTCGGCAGAGCGTGGCCGAGTGGCGGCAGTTCATCTACAACCCCAACAGCGGCGAGTTCCTGGGGCGCACGGCCAAGAGCTGGGGTGAGCGCGGGGCCCGGTGACCGTTACGGCCGGTACCGCCGGTACCGCCATCGCGCGCCTAAAAATAGCGCGGCGGCGGCGGCGGGGGGGGGGAGGAGGAGGGCGGTCGGGAGGGGCAGGTGGGGCCGAGGGCGGCGGTGCGTCCCGAGCTGACTCACCCCCGCCTCCCACCCCGGCACGCGAATGCGGCGAGCGGACCCGCCGGCTCCTCCCTGCCTGAGCCTTGGCGGGGCGCGGGAGCGTGGGGGGCCCGTGCGGGCCTAATGCCGCCTGCGGGCACCGCGAGGCCGCGATGAATGGGAGCGGGGCGCGAGCCGCGGGTCGGAGGCCGCCGAGCGGGAAAGTTTCCGCGCCGCGTTCTGCAGCGCTGGCGAAAGGACCGCTGTCCTGCGGCTCCGCGCCGATTCGTCCCGGCTCGGGGCTGCCGCGCTCCCCGGTTTCCTTCAGGGCGGCTCCGGGAGGCCCGCTCAGGTAGCCGGCCCGACTGCGGACAGCCGTCTCAACCTCTCTCCTTGCAGCACAAATATTTGGGCTTTCCCAGCGTGTTTTCTCGTATCGGCCGGCCGTATGAACGCTTAATATCGGGGCGTTGCTTCGGCCCTCGCGGGACGCGTTTACCGAGTTGAGAAAACGCCGCGTCCCCTCCCGGAGTTCGGATGCTGCCGGGCTGCCTCAGAGCTATGCTTACAGAACCAACAAGGCTCGCAGCGTGGCACCAGCGCGGCCGGGCCTTGACACCGCCTCGATGGATGCTGATGTCGAAATCCGAGGAGGAGCCTGGAGAAGGCCGCGCTCTGCGCCGCCGACGTCTGTCCGTCAGGAGAGGGCCCTGCTCCGACGTGAGCTGCCCTCCATTCAGATGGAAATAAGAGCTCGCGGGCTGCTCTGCCCCCTGCATAGCAAGGGAGAGGAAATTTCCACTCTGCTGGGCCCAGCCGTCCCCGTGCAGGCAGGTTTCCTCATGTGCGTGGGCTGCGCGAATGGGCGTGCGGTGAGCAGGAGGCTGTGACTGGCACAGGAGCCGTGGGCATGTCACTGATAGCTGGAACTCGAAAAACAGGGATCCTGAAACAACCTTCTTGCTGGGACCTGATGGATAAATCGCTTACAGTGTTGCCAGTCCAAGGCCAATAGATAACACTTTGTAGCAAATAGAACTAGCCGGTAATTGAGCTGCTATTTTGTTTCACAGCCAGCTGGCTAGATAAAAGATATTTTTCTACATCCAGAAAGTGCACGTAGGCTTACATAGCGGTTTAAATAAATGATACTTTATTAGCTTTCTTAAGGTGTTTAGGTGATTGACGTGTGCTTTGTGGTGTAACGTTCCCTTAGGTACATGTGAAGAGGTGACTGTTTAACAACGCTATTAAATGTCACTGTAATTTTTTGTCAATATTTGTCCTGATGTTTTGCAAGTTGTATCTCGCGCTTATTTAAATTACCTGTCTGCGTATATTAAGTAAAAATAATTTTGGCTCTGTTAAGATGTTCTCGGGAGTTCAGTATTTGATGTCTTGATCCCCCTAGCATCCACGAAGTAGTGTTTCTTTTGTTTTGCTTTTAATTGCAGAGCACTCGCTGAGTGCTTCTGCTAGTGGAGAATATGCAGGGTTCAGTCTCGTTTCTGCTTTTGCATCGGTGTGTGCTCTGAGAGCTGTCCCTCTGGCTGCTGCTCCCCTGTGGCTGCTGGGCTCCCTGTGGGGAGGCGGGGAGGCAGGAGTGGCTCTGGCTGTTTTGCTGCCTGTCTGCTGGGCCGTGGTGTCTCCAGGGACAGCATGGTAGGAATTCAGCTGGCTCTGATTCTTCCTGGCATATTTCTTTTTTTCAAGACAGTTTTTCTTCTCAAAAATAAGTGAAGAAATTGGTAAATAACTATTTGCTGTATGCATGTGTGTTGCCCTGGTCTAAGGCAGTCCTGGAGGCTGATCAAAATTGTGACCGCAAGTCAGTTAGCAGCTTTATGTGGCTAGAGGAAATATTAGAAATTAATGATGAATGACTTAAGTTTGTGAAGTTCTCAGCTGCAAGGCACACACAGTCCTTGAAACATCAAGAGAAGGAGGATCGGTGCTGGGGTTCTGCACAGGGTGTAGTGAGCAAGGCAAAGAGAGGAGAACTTGGAACACCACCACAGGGTTCTTCCTGTAAGGAAGGAGAAGATTGGTA